GAAAGTTTATGGGAGTATACGAGGAATGCTCCCGGTCCCGGAGGAGCGGCATGAACGACGCCGATGTTCTCCGGCTTGCCACGACCCGGTATCAAGACGACGGGAACCAAGGCAAGGTGCCCATCGATCTTTGGGGGATTTTGAGTCGTTCCCCGAAGTGGCAACAACTCAACAATCCCGACGGCGTATCATTCCGGAAAAGATCCACCGTCGACGCCGAGGTTGAGGTCGACGAGACCATCGGTTCTACCGATCAAATCCCTTCCTTCAACGTTGCGGCTTCCGATGACGAGGACCCCATTCCACGGCCGATCGGAAGAAAGAAGGCAAAATCCATTGCCTCTGGTTCGGGAGGGTCCGCCTCTATTTCCGCTTCTCCCCGCGACGAAATCGGCCGGGCAATGGTTGAACAACTTCGGGCGTTCAATCTCCAAGAACAAGAGAGGTTGAAGCTTAAAGAGAAGGAGTTGAAGCTAAAGGAGCAGGAGGCCGAGATGAAGGTCATGCAAACCGACCCCGGGACGTTGTCGGAGTTTGGACGAATTATCTACGAGCAAAGAATGAGAGAGATCAAGGAGAAATATAATTTACCTTAGTTTTTTTATTAATGTATCTTTTTTTTAAAATTATTGTCGCTTTTTTTTTATTTAATTAATGTGTTTTTTTATTATTCGTGTTTCAATTTAATTAGATAATAAATTAATTACATTTTATTAATTTAATTTTAGAAGATGTATATTTAAAAATGTAAAAAATGAAGGTTTGAAGCCCAGTTTTGAAGCCCCGGGGCTTCAAACCCATTTCCAGTGAATTTTGGGTGTAAGTTAAAACTGACGTGGCAGAGAGAGAAAGTTTGAAGCCCCGGTTTGAAGCCCCGGGGCTTCAAACATATTACCAGTGCTCTAAGGGTAAGGTAATACTCCGTATGAAATTGAAAAACACCGAGTACACACTTTAGTTTGAATCATTTTTTATGAGTATTTTAAATATTTTAAATCTTTTAATATAATATTTCAAACTCAGATCACCAGAGTTTAACACATGGAATGTTTTTGAGATGTCATTGATGGTTGTGTACAATAATTGAATCTAAAATCATTTCTAAAAAAGACTTCATATACGAAAACTTAACTTCATATACGTCAATGTGATACGAACTAATTACTTTATTTTGATTAACCAAAAGAATAATTTTAATATGACAATAAAATATTTAAACAATAATATTATTACTAAGAAAAAAACTCAACCAAAAATATAAAAAAAAACCAAAAATATAAAAAATTAAAAGCGGATAAAAGATAATCATCTTTGTGGGCGGCGTTTAATATGTCTATTAATTTAGATGAAAAGTGTTATAAGAAGTATATACTCCATATATTTTTAGTGCTATTGACTCAGTTTGATTAGATGTGATAACTGTTCTTATTTTTTTCTCAATTTAATGATAGGCAATGAGACAATGCTTCCTCCTACAACAAGACATGTGGGTGAGTTTCCCCGTGAATTTTTGATAGTTGATTTTCTACCACTCCGGTCCTTTTTTTTGGGTTAGAAATATTAATAGAAATTGCCCTAAATAAGACTAAAACATAGAAAAAATATTAAATTAGGACTTTCATATTTTTATTCCTAAAATAGAGGTTCGCACTGTGGTAATGTGGAAGTAACGTGGCACTCTATACGTGCACATTAATTACTATATTTTTTGGTTGCATAACCACGTTTTGCAATGTAAATTCATTTTAACTCTTATTTTGGAAATAAAAACATTTACAATACTAATAATAATAAGAATAAATAATAGTAATTGAAATAAAAATAATATAAAAATTCACGTATATAATTTTAAAATTCACTGCTTGAAGAAATCAGAAGCGGTTAGATTATAGTTGAAAAAGTTTGAAGAAACTAAAAGAATCTAGAAAAATTTAGAAAGGTAAGAAGTTAGAAAATAGTGGAGGATAGTGATGCATTTTGGTTGGGGAGAGAGGATATTTTCTTAGAAAATTAATTTCTATGGAAGAATGTTTTTCTCCAAAGGTTTTTTTCTCCAACCTATTCAAATTTATTGGTAAGAAGAATTGAATTTTATCTAAAAAATCGCTTCTCATTATTTGTTAGGATTTTTTTTATACTAGTACGTCGTTGATATTTGAATAAAGAACAAAGATGTTTTAAAATAATTTAAAAATATTTCTAGCTGCATAATTTTTTTTATATTCGATCAGTACCGAACTTTCATTATAGAGTTTCATTCTCTACAATTTGGGAGCGGTGTAGTTGGGGGGGGGGGGGGGGGGG